AGCCTGACCAACACAAGCCAACCCCAGTGCTTCTAGCATCAGGTCAGGACCCTTTGTTTACAACACTTGAGAATCAGGAATCAAGAAATATCTTCTGATCCCATACAGGTTAACTGGCCTCACTATGACAGTGACCTTGAGTTCTGATGTCAATAGTGACAGAACATATTTTTTCTACTCCTGATGTTTATCTTTACTCCCCCACCTTTAAAAAGCACCTGGATCAGCTTCTTGAGTGTTCTGAGACTAGTTCACCAGCTTTTCCCCAGCTTAGAGATGATCCAGGTGCTCAAAGGTTCTATGCACATGGATGCAACATAAAAGCTTCCACTCTGCCCAACAGGGTAGATAAGCTCAAGAATCAGGTGATGTCCCTCCAACAAGACACAAGGCCATGTGACATTGTCCAAAGAGTCTGCAACAGCCATGAATTTCTTAGAGTTATGATGGACATATATAGACTATGTAATTTGCTTTCTGTTAGTTTAAAACAATAGACCTTGGCTCTTACACTAGGCAATGTAAGTGTGGGCATATATCAACAGAAACAACAAAAGGACCAACACGTTAAGTGTGTCTGAAAACTCCACCATTTTTTTTATAATCATCCCCAAACTGTAGAGTACTTCTGCAATTTCTTGCCCAGCAGGTCTTTTATACTCGATGTCTGCTCCTAATACCAAATGACAGCAAAGTACTGTGTACAAATGTTATCACAGACACAGTGATGGCAACCAGTGCAACAAGAGAGATCTTTTCTGTAGGAGCACTTTAAGGTTCTCAGAGCCCTCTCACAGAGGCAGACACCGCAGGAAACTTCACTAACAAAGAAGACTGAGCCAACGACAAGGGAAAACTGAGGCCACTAGCAAAGGGCAATGCAGGAATTTCAGCCCGAAGTATTTCCCAGATCACGAGGGCAGTGGAAAAACATGCACTTTGTGCATCAATATGTAATTTGCGTGTCTTTGTCTCTTAATGGATGCAGAAGAGATTTAGAACACCGTCAAAAACAACAACAAACCAAAACAAAAACAAACAAACAAAACCAAGGCTGGAGAAATGACTCAGAGGGTAACAACACTAGTTGCTCTTGCAGAGCACCAGGGTACAGTACCTAGCACCCATATGATGGCTCAAAACCATCTCCAGTTCCAGGTGGTCCAGTGCCCCCTTCTGGCTTCCAGGGGCACTGCACACACACGAGCCACAGACAAACATGCAGGCACAATGCTCATACACATAACATAAAAATAACTCTGTATAGATGTAACCAACCGTCTTATTAAATAAGAAACACAGAAACAATGTAAAAGAGAAAGCTGAGAGGTCAGAGCTCAGAGCTAAAATCTCACCCTTCCTCCTGCTGTCCCAGCTTCGCGAAAAAAGACCTACTTCCTGTCGGTTCGTTTTTTTATAGTATGTTGTTCTGCCTTCTCATTGGTTGTAAACCCAAACA